TGACTACTCTAGACGCTGGGTCTTCAAATAGAATGACTCAAGGAAAATTACTGCTGTATCTGTCATCCACGTGTACTGTAAGTACTTTTTGGGCTTTTAGCATCCAAACTTGGTCCTGCATAATATTTAAAATGAAGATGAGATATGTGTGATACTTTCCTGGGAAGTTTTACAGGTAAGTTTTCTGCTCCAGAGATTTTCTGAGGGGCCATTGCAGGAACACCAGAGGAAAGCAGGCACTAAAAGAAGACTTTTACTTGATGATTCCTGATGCTTTCATCACCTGCATCTAAAAGTTACCAAAGGAATGACTTTGAGCAATCCAGATCTGTGTCTGTCAAAGCTGTCTTGTCTGCCAGCCAGATGGTCAATAGGTGAGGGTGATCTGCCGCTTGCAGGGCAACTTCCTGGTGGCAAGACAAATGGCATTTCTTCCCCTGGATCCAGAGGTCACATGAGACAATGCATTTAAAGTAAGCAAGGATCTGAGACATCCTTGTTTGAAATTCCACCTGAAATTCTTGTGTTACTGTTAATATTATTATTATACCCAGGGTGTGACATCACTAAGCTATCGCCCAAGCAGTCAATATCTCCATTTGTGGGCACAGAGCCATGCACCTCGTGGTTATCCTGCAGGGATTTGACTGCTGATGGCCAGGACAGGCAGGGTGGTGACGCTGGGCAAGGGACTGTGCAATGCCTTGCTGTGCATGAAATAGGCACAGTGAGGGGCTTCTTGCTCTCCAGCTTCTCCCTGTCACCTCTGAGTGGGCCATGGGTCCAGACAGGACTTTCTTCTGCTGTGGATTCAGTGCCAGGACCTTGGCACAGGGTGATGATTTCAGCTACCCCAGTGTGGCTGAGAGCGGGCAGGGACACCTGGCTTTCATAAGAAGCTGCTTATGAAAATGCTCCCATTTTGCTCCTGAATGCCTGCCTGCCTTTCAGCTACCTCTGGAGAGGTGAGCAGATGGGTGATCAGGTGCATTTATATTTTAATCCCTTGTTAAAAAGAACACACAGGTTTTGAAATGTTCTGTTTAAGCAAATGGCTGCAAATAAGGTGTGAAGCTCCCAGCCAGGACATGCCCCTCGCTCTGCCCTCAGTACTTCTCTCACCCTCGTGGTACCTCCTGCACAGCCGCCTCCTCTCCCCCCCTTTATTTTTTTAATTTTCCAGTAGGCATATCAATTAGATGAGAGCTTTTCCTTTTAAACATTGGGATTTTCACTCGGCCTGCTAAGGCTGTCAGGTCTCGTTTGCTGCTGATCAGTTCATGCTTTGGTGCTGGACAATGCATGAATGTTTAAATTGCCTGAAATGTCTAATTGAATTATCCTCAAATTACAAATCAAAATAGGGGAGGCTGTCTCTGGCTCACAGGCTCATTCACTGGGATGTGTCTGCCATGCTGCTGCTTTTCTTTGTATTTTCTTTTCTGCTTCCGACTAGGCCTGTGTTAAATGAAACTTAAATACCGAAGGCATTTCTGTTTGCGTGTGCAGGGGGAAGTGATGCCGAACGTAAAGGGAAATTTATTCACGTTCTGGCTCTGAGTTCTTTTTGTGCTGCACAAAAAATGAATTCATGAAATTTATATCAACGCATAGGAAAGGAAAATAGCCAGCTGCTATTTACAAAGAAACTTCCTTTCTCCTTCAGACACAGTGATATATGATATCAAATACTTTCAGGCAGATATATATAAATACCATTTAACTATTTTTTATGAGAGCCCACGGATTAAGGAAACAAACTTCCATAAGAAAGATTTGATATATCTAGCCAGCACACATGATAAAATCAGCTTCCTAAAGCCTTGCCATAATACACAAAGGAGAAATTTAAACCCACAGGATTTTCTTGTCTAAGTTCTTAGGGGAGGCAGAGCTGTGTCTCCATGCATCACGTCTGCCCTGTCCTGTGCCTTCCCCAGCATCCCTGGAGGGTGGTCAGGATTTTAATCAGTGCAACAGTGCTTCCTTTCATGGATGTAATACTTTCTATAGAATTTAATAATACACAATACAGGGCGTTTAACTACTACATCCAGACTCGGTTGTTTTGTTACTGAACATGAACTTGTCCAATGACTGCTTGAAACAAGGGCTCAGAGTGGGTGCTGGTGCTGCACACTGTGTCCAGCACTTGCACCACCCCTTCTGTCCCCAGAAAATACCCCTTGAGGGACTGCACACTTCATCAAGGCATGGTGCCTGCCCCTGTGGCCCCCAGGACATCCCAGGTGCTCTGTGTTTGCTGCTCAGGTGAGCAGTGCCAGGGCTCACAGCACTGCCTGGGGCTCACCCCCACACGGGCTGGGCTGGCAGGACACTCAGTCTAACCAGGACAATTGCCAGCCCCCATGCAGATATCAAGCTGTGCCATGGTGCAAGACAGAAGCAGCAGGACAAGAGTTTAAATGTTGCAGCAAGTGCTTTTGTTTTAACTAAAGCCAAAAGTAAATCAAGTTCAGAACATGCCAGCTATCTTGGTATTAATATTCTCATATTTTTTTCTGAATACTAAAAAACTTAGTTTCAGGCCACTTTCAAGGGCAACTTCTCTGTAAACTCATAATTAGACAACTGTTTCTGTGCTATAAATATGGTTGAATACATTTCAATTATGAAATAACCTTAAAAAAATGGCTCAGATAAAATCTTTATTTAATGGAAGATCAGCACTGAAGGGATATTTTTGATAATAAAGAAACGTACATTATTATAAAAAATGTTAGCACTTCAGTAATTGAAGACTAATACATACTCTAACATCAGTTGTCAGTGGTTTTTTGTTGTTTCTTTTTTTTTTTCCAAATGTTTGATTGCTTTGTGCGCAAAGATTATACCTGCATGAATCAAGCATGCCCAAATAAAAGCATCTTTCAGAAATGGAGAAAGTTCTGTTTTGGAACTAATTGTTCTGGGCATCTTTTAAAGAGATGTAGACCTTGGAAACATGTGCCCAGAAAAAACCAGTGAAAAGCACTTCATGATTTTCTACTACCAAAATCACAGAATGCACATCTCTCTCATTACAATTTCTTGCTCCCTCTCCAAATGATATGAAACCCCAGTAACCTGATTTCTCTCTGGCTATCATAACACTGGTTCCCAGTGATGGGATGGTGAATGAAGACCATATCAGGAAACATCAGGCTCTTAGCACAGTGAAGTTGCACCTCATATTATTTAGCAACGTTTTCACCTATACTCAAGACATAAGCCTGGTTTCAGGTTTGGAGCTCTTTTACTGTACTCAGTAAAAATCTGTCTAATCAGATTTGCACCCAATCCTCCCATTGCGTGTTCTGACCATCCCATCACATCTAAAGCAAGACAAAAGCTCAGCCAAACAGCAGTGAATTTGGGGCTGATAGTGTTAGTAGGACTTGAGGGACCACACCAGGGTGTGCCCTACTCTCCGAGGTGACATCTTCCTCTTCCTCTGTAGACTGGAGCTAAGGATGTTGATCCAACTGTTTTGATGCCTGAAGCAGGGGACAGTGACTTCCAGAGGCATTTTCTTTCTCAGTGGTCACATAGAGATTTTAACACGGAAGTTTTCTTCTGCAAAACCTAATGTTTAAACCTGATGGATACCATAGTCTATGGCATAATGGTTGTTGCTGTGATTCATTAAACTGCCCCCCAACCACTTTGGATCATAGAATCATAGAATTGCTTAGGCTCTTTAGGAATTGTTTAGGTCTTTAGGAAAAGACCTCTAGGATCATCAAGTCCAACCACTTATCCAGCACCATCACATTCACCACTAAACTACATCCCCAAGTGCCACATCTACGTGTCTTTTAAATAGGTCCAGGGTTACTGACTCTACTGGCTTCCCTGGAAAGCCTCTTCCAATGCTTGACAACCCTTTAAAGGTGAAAGTTTTTCCTAATATCTGAGCTAAAACTCCCCTAGTACAACTTGAGACCATCTCCTTTTGTCCTATCACTTGTTACCAGTAGAAACTGACCTCTATCTTGCTAGAACCTCCTTTCTGTCAGTTGTGGAGAGAGATGTTTTCCTTGAATCTCTCTTTATCCAAACTAAACATTCCCATCTCCTTCAGCTGCTCCTCATAAGACTTGTGCTTCAGACCTTTCATGTTCCTGCCGTGCTAGATGCCTATTGTTGCTCTGTCTCCTTTAAGATTGATTTCCAAACTGGGACATGAAATAATTCCTAAGGTACCAACAAAAGCTGTTAGGTAATAATGTCTTGGGAACTGAAGACAACCAAAATGCTTCCCTATTTAAATAAAATCTTCCCATCCCGAGGCAGGTGTTAGCTGACCTTGTGCAGGTACCTAGCATTCGCTAGGGAATTGCTTCAGCCTCCTCCTCTGGCTGGGGAAGGAGGAGCCCTGCAGTGAAGGAGGAGTGCAGGCTGTGGCAGCCCCTTGGCTTCAGAGGGCCTCACAAGGGGCTGAGCTCTTCACCTCTATCTGGTAAAAGCACAGAACTGGGAGTGGGGAATCCCAGCCAAAGGATGTAGGTTTAGCTACGGTGTGTCAGTGCCCATCTGCTGAAGGGCTGGTCCATAAACTGCTTTTGTTCTTGAGTGGAAAAGGAGGGTGAAACCCATCCAGGGAGTTAGAATATAAATGGTGAACATTATCTCTTGCACCAAAATACATAAAGATATGTAGTATTATATGAAAGATGAAGAAATCACTCTAAAACTAGACTCTGAAACTTCCAGCCCCTCAGCATAAGAGAAAGGGTTTCATGAGCTTTGGGGGGCTGTAGGAATGCAGGAGTGTAATCCCTTTGTTTATGCACCACCAGCAGTGCACATATCTGGGACAAGAGCTGCAGGGTTAGGTGAGACAGAACCAGGATCCATCTGGACACACGCACAAGCAGCAGCCATGAACTTCAAGCAAGTCTGATAAATTTGGGTAATAAGAGAAGTGCCTGGAGAGGCAGTACAGGCATTCCCCCATTCAATGCTCTCAGCTATACAACCAACAGGACACAGCAAAGTTTTTACAAGTACATTTTTATTTAAAATAAAAATTAATTATGGTGCCTTTTTAAAATAGGGTACTGCACAATCTGTATATGCAACACAGTTTTTGGTACAGAACATACTTATTGAGCAATATCCTTAAATACTAAATATACATTAATGGCTTGTTTGAGAAACATGACAACATTAACTCTGATATTTTTTTTCTCTTTAGTCATTTAACCACTGATACAGATTTTCTATAAACAATATTCGTTTTCATCTGTACATGTGGTACACAGTCAAGAAGGCAGATCTTAGAATATTTACATTCATGCATTGATTTAAACACACTATTTTGCAGTTTAAAATAATATATTTTTGTTTGTACAGGTGCAGGAAGTATTGTAAATACATATCTACCATAGGCCTGATTCTCCATTGCTTGTCAGCTTCTATGGTCATGACCTGGTTGGAGCAGGGCGCCCATACTTTCTCCACGTGCTGTGACCACATGGCATGCAAGACTGGACAATTAGGTCTCTGTATAGATATATATCAGTATATTTATATTCTATACTTAGAACTTTCCCCTTTCTTTCCATGTCTGTTTTTGCAGCATCTGTCCAAGGTAGAAATGCTTCCCTGGGCACACCGCTGTGTCAGGTGTGGGACAGGAAGGGCAGCAGGGCTGGGGCTTCAGCTCCACTTTCCTGTCTTGTGAGGAATGAGGAAACTCAACACTTTGCAGCTCAGGCCCTTAAGCTGCATTCCCTGCTAGTGGTGATCCTTGAGAAGAGATTTGGAGCTGCTGCTCTCCCTCAGACTGAGGGCAGCAGTTTGCTGAGTTTGTCTGGTGGTGGTCAGAGCACAGCAAGTACCTTCTGTGTAGAAACGGGCCACCTTCATGCCTGCTGGGGATCTATTTTGTGAATGGAACTAGGCAGGTCCTTTCTACCCCTGATATTTTAGTGGCTAAAAAGGAACCCAAAATGTTTGTAAATGCTGCAGTTGCAAGAGCTGGGTTGCCAGTTCCCCAGATCCAGGATCACTGCTTTGTGAAACGCTTATGTATGTGGCCTATTCCTTTCCCTTTGTATTTAATTATAGTACAATAAGGAAGCACAGAAGCCTCTCTTACATAACCTTTGTGAGAGGTCTGTAGAGTGTTAAACACAACCTTAAACCCCAACAGCAGCCTCAGAAATCACTCATCAGTGACATGCCCTGTCTAGCCTCCCTTTTCTGAAGACTTACATCTGATTCCAGCATACTTTTCCAAGCGTCTTTCCCAAGATCACTTTGGTACAATGTAGTCAACTGTACTTGGGCAGGAATCTAAAGGCAAAACTACCCCATGCAAGATTTCCCACCTCTCCCTGACACACTGTGATGTGAGGGCTGAGAGCAAAGGGTCTGGGCAATCGGAAGAGCAGCTCTCAGCCTGTCTGCAGCTGCCTTTCTGTGGCTAACACGTTATAAAATCACATGAGGAATGTTTGCTCAAGAACTATTATGGCAATTGTGTGCCTGATACATTTATCAGCATGTTGCATGTAATGATCATGTATATCACCTAGCAAATAAGCTGCATGTATTCCTCTCAAAATACTGCCACAGAGCTGGTACCTACTTTACCTTGATTATGCAGATGGGTAAACTGAGGCACAGAGAGGCAAAATGACTTGCTAGTAAACAGCAGATCAGTGGCGGAGTTGGAAATGGATCCTAGGTGGCATGTGCTGTGTCTTCCAATGTCCTGCCTCTCCTCTCTCCATGAAGTTTTTAAAGTTTATGTTCTCCTGAAGAACATAAACTTTATGTTCTCTCTTCATGGGCCATGGGCAGGGTTTGCTTGTGGTTGTGTCATGCACCAGGATCTTCTCTAGTGAGGACATTTTACCACTGATATTACTGAAAATCAGACAGTGTTTGGTGACCATCTCTTTTTACTCTTTTTTTGCAAAAACAGATATTTTGATGGACATAATGACCTACAAATCCCTTTTGCAATTTTGACTTTACAGAACATGCCTTTAAAGCTGTAATAGGAAACAAATAAAATTGACAAACTTTAGGAAAAAGTGCTAATCCTGAGCCCATATTATGCTAAACTTTTCTGCATTCATACTTTATACTTTCAGATAAACATGCAACCAGTCTCAAACTATGCCACGTTTCCACATTTAGGCTGAAACAACTGGAGTAAAAAAAGAAAGGCAAACATAGGTAACTACACCAAAATAAATGTTATAGCTTAAAAATATTCTAGAAATATACTTGTAGTATTTTTATTATAGTATTTTGTGGGCTAAGTGCTTTAGGCAATCAACATTTGGGATACTATACTCAAATTGTAAATTCTGTCATTTTAATCCCACTTTGGATCTAAGAATATATCACTGTGTCTTGTGCAACACACAACATTAATGTGGCTAGGAATGATCATACTCATGGGAAAAGGGTTACTTGCCTCCTTTCACTTTTGCAATTGCATTCACTTCCCAAGAAAGTCTAGCTTTAAAAAATAATTTTATTCAGTTAAACTTCTACACAGTGATGGCAGACTAAAAAGCTAAATGAATAACTACATAAATTTCTCAAGAGCAATATATAGCAGCATTTCATTTTATAATTGAAAAGGTACTTATATTTACATACACCCTATTGTTTGATAGGTAATAGAAGACTGCAGATGGGCCTGAGCTGAGACTGCTGATTTGAACATTCCAGAGCTTTTTTTTGGGAAGATCTGCAGAACGTCTTCCTCTACCATCACACCAAACTCTGCATCCCAGGAACAGATTACCCACAGGCCGGAATGGGCTCAAAATCAAGGTCTGATTTCTGCAGTTCAGGCACGTCCTTATATAAAACTGAAAGTATTGTTGTGTTGCAGTACTGAGGGACAACACGGCTGGGGGGCAGCCAGGTCCCAAAGCGAGACTGCTCAGTGCCTGGGAGTTACCCACAAACTTGGAGACAGAGTGGTACCAAAGCTTTATGTCCAGACCAGAAGCCAGGGTGCAAATTTGTCTTTGACTGCATCACTACTTTCAGCACAGAGGTAAATGGAGATATACATGTGGAGATGTGACACAAAGGAAAGTTTTCAGGAGGTAGGGAAAGACCAGCATCTCAACTAGTCTCATCACCTCTATCCTAAGGGCTACTTACTGAGTCTGACCTGAGATCCTACGTGAAATGAATTTGGGTAAATTCAGCTTTGCTTTATCTTTTGCTTTATCTTTCTGCAATCCATGTCATGGAAAGTATACTGAACTGTATGCTGAACTCGGCACCACTGTCAGTCTCAGCTCAGGAGAGGCAGAGACTGAGGTAATGTGGGCACAACCAGCTACCAGACCCCTGAAAGTGGTCCTACAAGCCAGACCTGCAATGTCCTCAGTGCATCAGCTCAGGAGACTCACCACTTTCAGGCAATAACACTAACCAGTGAACGAAGAGAATTTCAAAGGGCTGCTAGTCCTTTCAACACGATCCTGCCCAAACACTCACACCAAGATGTAAACAGTATCTTTTCTGTAGGAGTTTCCCTGGGGAATCAGTGAGATGCAAACACAGAGAAACATGGAATCTCACAAAGGAACATTTTTAAAGATAAAATAAAAGTGTGGTGCAAAAAAGGAGGCTGATTATGAAGTAGTAATCTTTAAAGCACATCTTGATAACATCTCTTTCAATAGCAATGTTAATTGCTAGAATCTTACATTTTTATTTCTTCTGCCTGAAAACCTTCAGCCATGAAAACTGCATAGTCACCAGACCACAGATAAATTTCCTGGGATAAGTCACAAGTTCAGGCCAATTTTGCTTGATTGCTTAACAGAAACCTTTGTTCCCATTTTAATAACAAAATAGTAAGAATAAAAAGAATGCAGCATCATCGTATGAAACCGCACGGGCTGGCGAAGCACATAGGCAACACCTCTCACCATTTAGAGGGCAGTCTCCTCCCATTTAAAGGGAGACACCTCCCTCTGACCCATCTGTGATAAACTACTGCCACTCTGGCAGATCACCCTCTCCTCAAAAGATCCTACTTCAGAAGCTTTTTTGTGGACACTTAATTTAAACGTAAAAGTAGAGGAAGAGAGGAAGAAGCGGGAGGCATCGCAACATCGCTTTCATGGGATGCAGCATGCAATGCTTATGCCTGTGTGAGGCCTTTTCTCTGGGCAGCCCAGGTGGGTGAGTTTATCCTCCCTTGGAGCAGCAGCAAGCCTGGAGAGCAGCCTGATTTTCTCTTCTGGATCACTGATGCGTGCGCTGTTTCTGAAATGAAGTCCTTGGCCACCGAGCTCCCTTGGTTGCCTCATTTCACCCACCTTGCATACTCCGTGTGTGTGCTTTGAGAGTTTACCACCTCCTGCGCCTTGGCGGGGTCTCGGGGATTATACAACCGCATTGTTATCAACTGTTTTGTTGTTCTGGGAGGAGGTCATTGCATATTCGGACCGACTGGTTCCGTTCTCTTCTTTTCTCATTGGTTTCCTTGGGTGACCCAGGTTCAGTGATGCACAGGCAGGGTAGGGAGAGAAGAAAGAACAGAGATCAACATCTTCTTTCTCAACACAGATCAAAAGTGAGGACATGCAAGGTACATAATAATTCTGAATTTCTCCTGTCTATTTTTCTCTTTCTGAACACAGGCCAAAGCAGCAGCTAATTTTGTCAATAATCATATTGACACCTGGAAGGTGACAGGTCTTATGCCAAGGTGTCATGATGTGCTATTGGTGTCCCCATGCTAGTCTGTTAATGGATACATGAGATGAAGGCTGCTGGAAAGAATGTCCTCCATCACCACCTTCATCTCTGGAACAAGGCTGGCTGCTGGGCTGGGCTCTGCCTTGGGGCAGTCAGGACCTTTCTCCTCGAAGTGTCATGTCATTCAAACTGGGTTGATAACCAGGTGTGTCCACCAAGGCCCCAGCTCCCTCAGCAGTCATCACCACCATGTTCAGTCACTAGGACTCATCTGACCAGTGCAGGTATGTACACCTGTGGTGATCTCCCCAGACAATCTCCACAGCTAGTGGAGAAAAACAGGTACTTATGAAACATGGTTCAGAACAGCTTAAAGTGGAAACCCAAAATATGTCAGATGTTTTGTGCCCAAGGCATTTGTGTTTCCTTGCACTGTCTGTAAAGGCAGGCTAGTCTGCTAGCCCAGATACAGGTGTCTGTGTTCTAGGTTTCTGAGTTAGTGACTGAAATGTGGTGCCTGCTGTGACCTACCAGACTTCCAGCACCATCACCTTCTTCTTTAGTTTAGTGGCCACTCATACTATTTGGTAATAAACTCCAGGATCACATGTTAATTGTGAGACAATTCTGGAAATTCTCAACAAGTGCAGAAAACTATCAAACATCTGTACATCACAGAGCAAAATCATTTATTTAGGATTTTATAGTTACTCTGAAAAGGGAGACCTGAACTTAAGTCCTGTAACAGACCATGTTCTATCTTGTAGCCTCCCCCCACAACTTCCATTCTCAAAAGTGGCTTAACTTGAAGCTTTAAACATAGTAGGAGGAAAAAAGCTTTGTTCTTTCCGCACAGATATTTCAGACATGAGTCTCTGGAGTTTAAGGTGTTGCTGAGAGCAAAAAGAGGACCAGATACATGTATTACAAGTCAGTCTGTGCTGTTGTTCTTCTCAATGTTTAACAAGACAAACAGCAATTAATAAAAAATGGTTAGTGATATTTATTTTCAGCATAGTATTAATGAAAGATTTATGGGGAGTGATCACAGGCAGGTAAATTTGTTTGCTTGCAATTTCAACAAAAATACTTCTGATTGTGATTTTTTTGTGCCTCTCTACCTGTTAAGAGTTAAAGCTTGTTAATATCAGTCATTATTCCAGCTATTAGACAACGGAAATGCAAGGGAAGGAGAGACTAAGAGTTAAGGAGACTAAGAGATTTGATGAACTGTTTTTCAGTGCTCAACATGCAGTGCCTGTCTGCATCTGACATGAGGTCGTGTGGGTCTTTCTTCTGTGACACTGAAAGCACACATCCACCATGCCACATCCTTGACGGGAAGAATGGAAAATCTGATGGCAATGCTTATTTTTTTTTTCAGGGCAGGAAAGATGGTGTGACTGTCTAAACATTTCTGCTGCTTTCAAAAATTCTTTTGTTTTTCTTTTCTCCCAGTACCAAACCTATCAATAGTTAAAAAGTGAAGACATTTTGGCCACTTTTACTTGCCATTTTTCTCCTATTTACCCCTTTTTTATTTGGTCTCCTATGTTTCTGCACCTCTCCAGTTCCATTTTCTTTCCCTGTCTAGACTTCCTCTTCTTTATGTTAAAAAATGTCTTCCTCTCATTTTTATCAGTATTTTTACATTTTCTAGTAGTGATTTTAAGATGCACTGCTTCAGTTGTCCTGAAATTTGCACTTTCCCATCCCCAGGCTGGTGTCCCAGCACAGACCTGGGTGGATTGGAGGCTCTCCTCTGATGGTGAGATCTTCTCTGCAGACCCTGCTAGACAGGTTGCCAGGGATATCACACCACTGGAATTTGCATGCAATGGAAGAGTTTTTTTTCAGATCCTGCAAATAGGGGAATTGAGAGTTTATCAAGGTTCTGCTTCTGCCTTATCAATTGCTCAGGGTTAGTGCTAGCAAAACAGAGCAGTCATTTTTTTGAGTCTCAACGAAAAGACTATTGTCAGATGCAAAAGTTCAGGCTTGGAGCCTGCTCCGTTTTACTCCTTCTCTCAATTTGTTCCCAAATACACAACAGGCAGGGATTTGGGGTCAGACTTGCCCCAGTTATACCATTTAAATCACTGGCTTGGCACGCTGGTATGTACTTGTCACTGTGGTTAAATTGGCCGATGTATTTAGATATACAAGGTCATTTTGGCTTGTGATTTTTCAAGTGTCCTCTTGCATTAGGGCATTGGCTCTCTGTGTGCCACTAGCTCTGTGCCACTAACCCTTTTACTCCAATTTTTGTTGACTGTTGAGATTCAAGCATGCAAATTTTCTTCTTGCACACCAAAGGGAACTCTTTTATCCTATTTTCTGCCTAATAAGCCAAATTGTGCATGATCTTCCAAAGTGTAATACTCCAAGCCCCCTTTCAGATGATAAGCTGAAATGAAGCATTTCCATTCCAGGTTTGCTCTTTGATTAGAGGGATGTTCCAAATTAGTGAGGAAATTAGTAGGGAACTATTCACATCTGTGACATACTCACTTGGTGGCAGGCGAAACAGGCTTTTCACTAATAAGTGGTTTGCATTGTTTTACAGTATAATTTGCAATACATTGTTTAGCAAACAAATTGGGTCTTCATGCCAAACATCTGTGAATGAAACTCTGCCCATGCAACTCTGTACAGCTTAGCACACGCCTGAAATGATGCCTCAGAGTCCATAATGACCTCTCCACCATGCATGCATTAACTTGTGCGAGTCCTAAAATCAAGAAAGCATCAAACAGCTGTTTAATAGTGTGTTTCATACATCAAGCTAAACTTTCAGATGAGGTTCTGATCACATTATATATCTTATTTATCAAAGAATTTAATATTGGCTCATTATATTGGCTTGTACCAATCCTCTGCAGAGTCCTGGGTAAAGGTCAATGTACTGATGCACATTCAAACACAATTTTCAAGTTCTATGTTTAGAAATTTTTTTAGATGAAGCATAGTTTTTGGTCCTTTATCATGCCTAGCCACAAAACTTAGTTGGTATATTTGACAAAACCTTCCTTGGCAGCTTTGGCTACTGTGTAAGTTTGGCATAGACCTACTGCTTGTAAGGCAATTATGTGATAGGGTACTAGGAGAGGGCTTCACCTCGTGTCCCATTTGTACACACTTCAGAAAATCTGTCTGTGACTACCCAGACAAAATCAAGTAAAACCAGAGAACACTATTTATTTAATCATGACTTTATCATGCCCATTATAGGCATAATAAATCTTTAAGAAGATTAAGATCACTCTGACATGGGAACACAAGTTTTGTCCAGAACAGTAAACTGCAAGGTTGTTTAAAATTCCCAGTGCAATCCACATCTCATACACTTCTGGATGCTTCATGCTTGAAAGGGATGAGAGTTTAGAATAAAATCTGTCTTCAAAAAACAACCTGAGTATTGCAAACCTGTTTCTACTACCTCCATAGCAATGTCTCTGTTGAGTACCAGTGCATCAAGTCCAGCATCTGGGAAGGCTGGGTTCCAAGGAAATCCAATCAAGCTAGGAAGGGGTGACCTTGGGCTGGCAGCAGAGACATGACAAGATCTCAAATTTGCCTCCTTCTGGGGTTCCCATACCTGACTCAGCACTGCCAAGAGACACCTGTCTCCACTTGGGGATTTGCTGTCCTGGACTATTCTCTGGGGAAATACATATCCTATTTCTTCACAAACAGGAATAGTCATTCTTCTTTTCAGGTATAGTTAGAGGAAGAAAGACTGGTTTTTTGGTATGAATTGTAGGAGGGGATGACCAGTACTCAGAAGTTCAAAGTGAGATTTCACCTTTTTCTGAGCAGTGGTTAAAAATTGTAAATTGTAAAAGCCACCTGCAAAAATCTCTCTCTCTCTCTCTCTCTCTATATATATATATATACACAGGCACTGTATGGGTATCAGTATCAACTGACAGAGATTTTACCAAAGGTGAAAGCTATGAGGCATTTCCTACTGTCTTTGCACAATTGTATCTGTGCCACTGCCCAGGGTGCCCATGCCAAAAATCCCTTAGTGTTTTCAGTTCCTCTCAGGAAGGTGCTTTTAATAGCATGTAAAGAGCTTATCTCTCTCCTCATTGCTGTTTCACCCCTGAACAAAGTTCTCTGGGCAGCTCCACTTGTCAGCCCCATTTCTGGTGCTGGCATGTTGAGTGTGTGCCTGCTGATCCCTGGGGCAAAGTGGCTGAAGGGAGAAGGCAAATCAGAGAGCTGTTTCACTTCCATGTGCAGTGATCTCAAAGCTCTTCTCCATAACAATATTTCATTAGCTATCAACACAAAGAAGATAATGATTTTCAATAAAATTTGGTCTCATACAACACATCCATTTGCTTTGTAGGATCAGTCTATCCTTGGGACATATAAATAGAAATACACAGAAATATTCACAGAAACATCCAGGCTACCTATATACCAGTAGAGATCAAGTTGCAGTGGCATCTTTCTGGGTTATAAAAATTTGTCCAAGAATCAGAGTAGATATCTGTGTAGTTTATTTTCACTCAGCTTCATCTCCAGGGCTAGGATGCTAGCAGTACCTGTGGCAGCTCTGCTGAGAGCTCTAGGCTAGACTTCACTGCTGGAAGCCCAGACAAGATGATGTGTGAGCTACAGTCACACTTCAAATACATCCTTATTTAGCAGATAGGAATGGAAGAATAAATTTTGTCATGTTATTCAATTACTAGACCATCACTCTGTATAATCTGAATGTTTATAAGAACATAAAGAACATGAATGGAGGCTGTTTGCATCTCAGTATTGGA